CTGAAGAGCTGGACACCCCCGGACAGGATCACCGTGCGAAGGACGCTGAGGTCAACGCCACCCGGCTGCTTGTCCGGCCAACACACTGTCGTCTCCATCTCTGTCAGCGGTGATGGGAGTAGGTCGAACTCCAAGCCCCCAACGAAGGCCAGCACCTAGTGATATTGGCAGGCTGCTGCCGCTTATGGATCGGATGCCTCCACTACAGCGACTCTAGTGCCTCTAGTGCATCCGAGCAACAGGCTGCGTGGACATGCTGTAGCTCACGGTCACGCACTTCTCGATGGCAGATTCCCATGTATAGAAGGAATAGCCCTCCCACTTGTCAGGATTTTCCTGCATCCAGGAGTTGTCACATGGAACCTCGGCGCCAAAACCAGCTTAGAAACGGTCAACGTTGAGTATCCAAACTCGGAGCATTAGTCTTGTCACAAGCGGCTGCCCAGGGCTCCAGTTGGATGAAATCCTGTCCAGCGCCAACTTGCCAATCACGCTGCGTCACCTGAAGCTGCTCTGCTGTCATGGCGTGGAACTGCTCTAGGTCCCTATAGGTGCTCTGCTGCAGGAGGGATTTTCTCGTCCTGGCCTTGTTGTTGGTACCCCGACGAGTCTTCGGCGCAAAAGCTAAGCAGCTGCTGGTGTCGATCTCCTTGCCACCAAACTGTGTTATGAGCTTCGTGGCGTAGTTCTCCGCGTTGTCGTGGATCTCAAAAGTGATGCCACCATCCGAGTCGTCGTCGTCGTCATCGCCCCCCTTGGCGCGCTGACGCTTCGCATCCACCTGCACAGCGCCCATTGGGCCCGACGAGCCCTGCGCAGGCTGGGAGCTCTGGGAACCGGGGCGGCGTTGCGCGTGAGTCTTCACAACGAGATTCCTCCCCGAATGGTGCACCGCGGGTGGAGCTCCGACAGCTGGGAAGCTTGAGTTCACGGCATTCTGAATTAGCGAGCTGCTGTCCTTCATGATGCCCCGTTAAGCGGATTCAATCAAGTGCTGCAAACAAGACATCAGGTTTAAGCAATGCCCGGCTCCTTCAGGATGGTGTTGATGACAGCGGTGGCAATGTGGGCGAATACCTCAATGAACTCCTGGCCGCGGCTGCGGATCTGACAAGTCGCTCCCAGAAAACTATCGATCTCTAGCCCTACTGGTGTCAGGGATGCAAGCTAGAGAACAGAGATCCAATCAACCTCAACTATCCCGGAGGCCCACCTGAATCATGTCACCGATGCGATTCAGGAAGTTCAGTGGCGGAACCTCTGGCAGTCTTTGGGTCTTTTGTTTGAGGGTGCCTCCTAGAAGTACCCCCTTTCGAGTCGAGGAGCGACTTCCAGCAACTTGTTGCCGAAGCACTTAAAGACGTCGGTGACAGATCCCTCCGTGGCGCAGCTAACGACCTCGCGGCCGATATTCACCACCGCCTGCCCGGGGCACAAAACCCCCAAACCCCAAGGCTTCACAAGCTCTGAGATGGTGCCTTAATGGGCTCGAGGCCATAGCGTGTGACTGTCTTGATAGGCTCCGGCCAATTAAGATTCGTTTCCCCGAAGTCGAAGTTCAGGAGCGTGATGCTCTGGCCCATAAGCCTGACGCAGATCGAGACTCACATGTGGCCGTGCATGCAACGCCATGGGTGCCTGATGTAGCAGTACTGCTTGCCCCAGTCCACGTAGAGCCCATTGGAGTTCACGGTCATGCGGGGCCACTCCATGTCAGGACAAGCAGCATCCCAGTCCGTAAATCCACCTTGGATGGGGTGAGGTTGAGGGTGAGGTTGGAACCCTGAAAAACCAGCATAGCATGTCCTCATGCGCAGGTGCGCATCGCAACTTCCAAGCGCTGAAAAGCCACGAAGGAGGATGGTCACGGCCATCTCCTCGCAGGGGAGTTCAACTCACGCTCCCCGCCTACACTTCGAAGCTGAGCAGCACTTTGTGCACACTTTGCAACCCTCTCCACAGTGTCGATGACAGTGTTCGCGACGAAGGAAATCTGGTCTGAAGCGTGCTCATAAGCATCACCCAGGGCATCTCCAATCATGCCAGTTCCATCCTGGCGACAAGTCTGAAGATGCCGTGCAGGCAGCTTGACGCAGTGCATGCACCCCCTAAACACAGATCCACAACCCGGGGTCCGTAATGGTGCCAAGCGCAGCACCGCCAACTTTACTCACAGTCTGCACGATGTCGTCTGGGGACCACTTGGCAGCCACCGCCGTGTCCAGGGAAGTGAGGTTGCCTGTCCGACAAGAAGGATGATACCTCTCTGACTCTGTATACAGATGCATGGAGAGGAGATGCAGAGACAGACAGAGTGATAGAGGGGGGGGAGACAGAGACAGAGAGAGAGAGAGAGGCTGACTCAGCGACAGACACAGGCAGGCAGGCAAGCAGGCAGGCAGGCAAGCAGGCAGGCAAGCAGGCAGGCAGGCGCAAGCAGGCAGACAAAGACAAACGGACGGACAAACAAACGAACAGTTGCGAATCGCACAAGTCTGGCGAGCCTCGAGCATGCGATGAACGCTGCATCATTGCCTCGTCCCGAGCCTTCGAAGGTTTCGGCGAGGAAGGCGTGGCTTTGCCTGAGACGACCCCCAACATCCCCCCGTCCTTGCCCATGAAGAGTTGTGAACCTACAATAACTGCTCCGTCAGCCGGCCTGAAAATGGCGTGACAAACTCTCGCTTCTGCCTTTGGTGCAGATGCTTCTGCACCACCTTCTTGAAAACGGACTGGGCCTCTTCCACGCGATCCCTCTGCGCTTCCTGGGCTAAGCTCGGTGTCGGCTCCGTTTCCGAGCCGGCCTGGGCCTTCAGACTTTTGATCTCCTTGTCCTGCTCGTCGACCTTCTGGAGGAGCTTGTGGATCTCGGCTTGCTGCAGCTCCGCGACGGTCTCCAGCTGCGCCAACTTCAGCTGGATGAACTCCAAGTTCACCGCGAGCTCTCCGAAACCGTGCCGAGGTCGAGTAGAGCCAGCGGCTCCAGAGGTACCATTCGTGCCGTTCACCGATGTGCCGTTGGTCGTCGTCTTCTTTGTGCTGTTTCCACCGGTGATTTTGCTTGCGTTGGTTTCATTGCTCCGGTTCTCCAAGTTCGGCAGCGAGTTGATCTCGTTCATGTTGTCCTGGATGTTGTGTTTGACCAGCCCGTCCAACGTCACATTGGCAGACACATTGCTCGCATTCGTAGAGTTCACCGCCGTTGCATCTTCGATGTCCAGGCCGGCGATCGAATGAGTTTCTGCTTTCACCGCCAGAAGGGATGGAGACTGCCCGGAAGAGGGAGCAGATGCACAGCTGGCGTCATCGGTGGCTCTTGAAAACACACGCCCAGACACCAGCCAAACGGTAAGCCCTAGAAGGGCGGAAGATCGATACATCATCAGGAACTGAAGACAGGAAACGACAATCCTTTCTCGAGCCCCAAAGCTTGAGCCGTAGCCAGTTTAGGGTCTTAGATTTTGGGGTTGCAGCAGGGCCTTCCACTCTCATGCTTGCAGACGGCAGCCAAGGCTTGACAGGGTATCTTGGCTAAGTACCTTCTTGCGTCTTGCAGTCGGAACTTGACACCTTCGAGCATCATCCACGCTGTCACTCATCACCATCATAGTCGGGATTCACGGGATGTTTGAGTTCTACGGCTTCGTCTACAGAATCACAGAGTCAGCCTCGGCAGCAGCAGCTGCGGCCCTCGGTGGCGGCTCAAGCGGAAGCGCGCCCGCACCCAGGATTTCGTCAAGAGCCTCTGGCAAACACCATCTCAATTCATCCACAAAGCGAGCTACAGCTCAACACAGTCATCCAGCTTTTCGGCAATGAGGTCCTCTGTGGCAGAAGTGATGCAGTCGCTCTGTAACACCTGGGGAACAAGGCTGCAAACCACTCGTGGCTCTACCCGATACACCCCCCGCAGTCTCGACCGGGTTTCACAGGACAGACGGGCCCTCAACATCCTCGATGATGGCAGTATCTAAACGTGCAAGGGCACACACACGTCGTGGATTATGAATGCATACGGACAGTACATAGATGCGGAATGATGCATTTGTATGTGTGCATGTGCACATACATGTGTGCATATACATATATATATATCCATACATACACGTTTATGTAATTATATATGCACATGCCGATATATAAGATAATATGTATCTATACATGAATATATATATATATGTATATGTATATGTATATGTATATGTATATGTATATACATAGATAGATAGATAGATAGATAGACGTATATACAAATAGATAGAGAGAGAGAGAGAGATAGACAGATTGGCCGTGATCCCTTGAAACTTGGTTGTCCGTTCGGTGTAGATTTAGATGGACTAGCAGGGAGTGCAGATTAGGTTCATGAGCAATTCAACTTATTGCGGGAAATCCAGCGACATCTTCCACTCCTCCTCGCACCCTGAACCCGACGACAAGCTCGAAGCACATGATGTAGATGCACCGTGCTTTAGGTCTCTATGGTCGGCGGACAACACATACAATCACTCCGCAGTACTTCAGGCCAAGCTTGAAGCAAAGCACAACGACAGAGCCTCAAAAATCGACAGCTAACTTACCTGTGTGCCCCTGACTGCCCCGCCTCGCGCTCCGACTTCTGGGCGTGTTCCTTCACCTGCAGACTTGGGCAAGCTTCTCTCGGCTGCGGAGACACCTACACTGGCCACGCAAGGCAAGGCCTTGGGACGCCAGGATTCCAGAAGCTTAACAGCCTGGCACAGTGACCAAGCCGAGCCAAAGCCGTCGTTACAGCTCCTTGCAAACCACCGCCTCATCCACCGCTTGCTGCGCAGAGTGGCTGGCATCTGCGAGAAGGGGCTTGCAAAGAAAGCGTGGAGTAACAACATGTTGGCTCTTCATAGCTGCCGTCGATACCAAAAGCTGCCTCCTGCCTGACTTGGCTTCAGGCTTGTTGGCGCTCAAATGCTGCATCCTGAAACTGCAATTCGCTTCCGATACCGGTGGGCCGAACGTCAACGAAAGCAACGACTCTCCTCCCCTAACCAAGCCGGCTGGTGACACGCCCTCTGCATTCATTGACAGTGGCAAATGCGGACTTTTTAGGAGGGGATTGGTTGCTCTTCTTTTCTCGTGGGGGCTCGACGTCTTCACGATGCTTCACGGGTTCGACTGAACGAGCCTCGTCCCAGGTCGTAGGTTTTGGCAACCATACCACCAACACGCAGAGCCATCCCTCTGCTGCAGCAGCAGAGAGCTCACCCACATGGCTACCTAGCCTCTGCGTTCCCTGCCCGAGCACACCAATGGCTTGGTCCCACAAGCGAGCTTCAGAACTTCCCAATTGCACGTGGGTCCGACTTTCTCTGCAGGGTCGTAGTATCCATCTACGGGTGGTGCATCTCAAGCTGGGATAAAAAATTTTCCCGGTGCACCCCCGTGCCTACATACGATTGCAGGGTTTCTGGAAGATGCACGTGGCTGTAGCGGAAACATGGCTTCGACGAGCGGACAAGCAAAGAATTGAAGCAGGAAGCAAGGAAGACGAACCCCGCCCAATACCAATCTTGGCAGGTTGGCGTTTTCAACTTCGCCCAATTCTGAATCCCCATAGATCGGCAGGATTTTGAGACCAAATCGAGGAGGCCATAACTCGTGTGGCTGTGTTAGGACTTTAGCGACTTCGCCCGAATTCAAACGAAATGAGTTCGGGACTTTGGCGGCGCGACGACTAATTCCTACCAACGAAACTGCGAATGTAAATCACTCCCATACCGATGCCACACCCCACAAGTCCACAAGGCTTGAATTCGTCACCCGCGGATCATAACCAGGATGACAAAGCTCTCGTTTTGCGATGAAGACAACAAAACAACAACCGACTCGCACAAGAACGACGAGAACAGCCGAAGCAGCGCTGCCTCTCTGCTCGCAATTGATGATGGAAGGCCAAAGAGAGTAAGCACGGCACTGCTGTGCCAGTGATACCACTGGCTTCGGCATAGGATGCCTCGCAAAGGCCAACTGCTGCGCATCTGCGGAGAGGGCCCGGAGTTGAGGGAAGATCAGAGCAGTGAGAAAGCGGGGCCTGAAACGGAATACGAAGCTCTCCCCGGTTCCGTAGTACCTCGAAGCAGACTCTGCGTCCAAAACTCGGGGCAGCTTTCCACTGCGCCTGTCGGTAATGTGCCAGGCAGAGGAGGCAAAGCCTCCGAAAGCATGCCCCTTGTGATCCTGCAGGGGGTTGCAGAGCATTCTGATGAGGCGTCTCTTGCTCTGTGTCGCTCTATGCGGGCGCAGAAAGCCAAGACCCCGCAGTAAGTCTGTGGTTCAACGGCCCGAACAAGGAATGTTCCGAGCTTTAACGATGCATCTTGCCGGCGTCTTCCAACGCCTCAAGTCCAAAAAGTCGCCCAGTGCTGCTTTCAGCAAAAGCGGACCGTAATTTCTAGCGCTTGACATCTTTTTCTGCCGGCACTCTTTGTTATCTGCTATCCGATCGGTGGTGCGGGGCGAGGGCGCTGAGGGCAGATCCCGAGTAAAGGATCCGGCGCAGGGATCTTTCTGCTTAGCCCTGCCCCCTAAATTCTGGTCCTCTAATTACGAAGAAAAAGTGCTCGACCGGCTCGGTGAAGCTGAACTCAATCGCTACTCTGAGATGCGGGCATAGTGACAGACAAAGGTGTACAAAAGGTTAACAAAACAGATGCCCGCGACTGCTATCTAGAAAGTGCTTGCATTCAGGCTCTGTGCCCTGCTGTCTTCGTCCTCTTACCTTCACCCCATCCCTCAATCCTGCAAAACAGGCCGAGGTCCTGGAGAAGCAGAAGGGTTGGGCCCTCTCCTTGCATCCTTCGGAAAAATGTCTTCAGTGATACTCCATTCAAGCCTCGGATGGCAGTTCCAGGAAAAATTGGAAGATGCATAAGCACGTGATGCTGTGCTACAAGCCTGAGTTGCATGCGTGGCGAGTAAATCAACCGCCAAGCCGTCTTCCACTGCAGCGATGCCTGACAAACGAAAAACGAGCTCCCTTTTCCAAGGGTGGCCTGCTGACGATCAGCTGACATGTACACTCCTGTGACGCACGGCTTGGATCGTTCTGGCTCTTTTCTAGCGAGGAGCGCGCGCTGCAGCACAAAGAGTTCGGGAAGCTTTGTGGGGAGGCCACTCACAGCTACCTGCGCACCTGCACCTGCAGTTCTGCAAGCTTTCGGCTCACTGCAAGTTATAAGACATTGTGCACAAGCCGCTGGTGCCAAAATTTGCAATCCTCCCAGCCTCAAGCTCTTTAGGCAACCATATGTGGCTACCGAAACCACCCTCTGCCTTTCTTCTTCGGCTTCTCTTCGGGAGGTTGTGGCTTCAAGGCCACGGTGCGCAAGAGTTGATCGAACTGGGTTCCATCGAGGAAACCCATGTGGATTTCGGGCTCCACTCGAGGCAGGCCGAAAATCCAAAGAGTGGGATACGCCTGGACCTGGAAGCCAGCCGCCAGCTCCTGGAATTCCTCAGCATCGAGGATGAAGATCCGCAACGGTGCAAAGAGAACGTTGCCGGGAGGTGCAGCTCCGGCTCCAGCAAATGCCAAACCAGGCGCAGGGGCACCTGTTGCACTAGCTCTGCGCTGCACCGCCTCCTGTAGAACAGGCAGCTGCTTGTGACAAAAGGTGCATCCACGCCGGGTGAACTCGAGAACGACCTGCGCATTGCCGGACATCAGCCTTGGCCGAGCGAAGTAGCGCACGCAATGCGAAGGGACCGGACTTCCTAAAGATGTGAACCCAGGCATGCAAACCATCAACAAGAAAGAGATGGAGGGCTGACGACCCTGCGACCCTGCATTCTTCTGGCTCTTGCTACTCTATAGTGGAGTTGAGTACGGCTGACAGCACGAAGTGGCGAGTACTGAATCGACTGTGCAAGGAAATCTCGCCAGTCTTGAGGGACTGCAGTTCCTGGATCTCTTTGTGGGTGTGGGCGCAGAGCCACCTGCATCACATCCACTCGTTTGCTCCGAGCATTCGACCCTGTCCCTATACACTCCTGCGAAGAATTTCATAAAGTGTCACGTACGGGTACCAGATCTCCAAACTAAATTTCACACGGCGGCCACCTCCCCATTCTGCAGCAGGACGAGCTCTCCGCTTCGGATCTCCCTGCCCGTCTCGTCTCTGTTCACCATCCCTTCCTCAGCCTTGTCGCGAGAAAACAATCCAAACGTCAGCTGTACTTAGGATACGGCGCCTATTTTTAAACACCC